ACCCACAGGGTTTTCCCTTTTTGTTTTTTTGTAATTTTTCAAAGAATGACCCAATATATAGATTTTGAAAAATCCGGGGCCCGGATGCCCCGGATAATCCGAACAGACGTACATACGAAAAATTTTAATACCCCAAAAGTGCCCGACTGAGTCGGGGCTCATCCCCAGGGGGGTCACAAAAACTTTTTAAAAATTTTAAATTTTAAACTTCGCCCAATTGAAGATTTTTTTCCCAATTTTTTGTATCGGGATAAATAAAAAAAAGGGTTTATCAAAAATCCCCCAAAACAAAAACAAAACAGAAGAGTATTAAACCCAAGGACGGGTTTTTTGGAAATTAAAAAGGGGAAAAAGGGTCCAAAAAAAAATCTTGTCTTTTCTTTATGAAAATTTTAGATTTTTAACTGTGGGTTTTTTATTTTAAGACAATCTACAAAAATAATTTACTTTAGTGTTAATTTACATTTTATAATTTCCCTTCAATTTGTTTGTTTAATAAAAAATTGTTTAAGTTTTAAGGTTGATTTTAACCAACAATTGAAAAATTTTAGGGGGGTACTAGTCTATTATAAAAATTATTTTCCCTTTGTCCCATTTAAAACACAAAATTTAATGTTTTTACCCAGTTAACAAAGGAAAATTTTGGGCATTTAAACACAAAATCCCAAAATGCCGACAAACCCCTTTCCCGCCCCTTAATAAAAATTTAAGTTTGTGTAACCATTTATTAACCCCTTTGGGTTTAATTGCCCAAACCCGGGTCAAAAAAGAGCCCCCGCTGGGTGGAAATTATTTTCCCCAAAAAATTTGTCAGTTTTGAAGGGAAAAACCCAAAAAATTTATGACTTCTTTTTAAAAAAAGTTTATCTTTATTTTTTTACACATCAAAAATGAAGGAAGTACAATTTTAACATAAATTAAAGTAATTGATACATAAACAGATTAAAATAACAAATTACCTCCTTCAAAAAGCAATCTTTCTTTTTAGCTGAAGGACCTTCATATATGTAAAGTTGCTGTTTCTAAAGCACCACGAAGTTGTTATTTTGAATGTAAAAATGCTACGACGGATGAACGGTTAGACGCCAGTGGTATAACATATTAATACCTATGTAACTATATATAGTAACAAACTCTAGGGTATTCCAGGGCCACTATGGCAAGATCTTAGATTTCATTATGCAATTTTTGCCCGCCTTTGCTATAACTCGGCATTATTTTCCCATAATGGGCGAGTGAATGAGCGCACGTGCAGAATGACGTCATCAACTCTCAGTGACTTTCAAGATGGCTGCTGACGTTGAATGAACTCTAGTCATTTGCACACATCTTTTTAAAAGTTTAAACGACATAATTAATCACAATCAGCAAAGCTTATCATGAACATTTATAAACTTAAGACAAAAGATGATCCTCAGAAATTCCAAAATAATTTTAGATTGACTGTACGAAAAGGTCGGGTCGTTCGTATTTACTGTAGACCTAGACCGTTGTCGCGTAATAATCACACGGGCGTAATTTTACCACGGTTTACTCATGTTTTTTAAAACTTGCCTGTAACTTTATTTACAAAACAAAGCGCTGTAAAAAAATTGGTATAAATCTTCAGCATAGAACAATTATTTCGGTGCATGTATTTGAATATTCTGACAGTATTTATTTCTCCAGAATATATGCGTGAAATTGAGCTAAAATCGCCAAATTTTTCCATCTTTCGTAGGGCATTTTTTAAAAACCTGCAAGGTCTAAAAAAGTATTAAATTCATGAAAATAAATGCTTTTAAAACTTGTCAGGGTGTTAAAACTTTGTTTTCTTGTCCATTGTTTATACTTCTAAATTAGCTACAACTAATCTTAAGCTGTAGTTGAAAATGGCCAATTTTCTCCGAAAACTAGGTCAAATTACCCGAAAATTTTGCCCGAAAGGTACCTTAAATTTAAAAACTTGTCATTCATAACCATACAACATTTATTCTTAAGAATAAAGGTCTAATAACTTGCCAGATATTTTAATATTCACAATTCAATGATTGTATTTAAATCAACAAAGCCATAAATATAAAATAACACGATTAAAGCGGCTTGTATCCTTCGCCCGTTTTTCAAAATGGCGGACAATATCTGTTAAAATGGTGATCTAAATACTTTCTATTAACTGAGTACGTATGCGTCGTTATATTGCCATATAGACTTTGATATCAAAAATGCTAAAAACTTTTTCCCAACTCAACAAATCATTTAGACAAATATGACAATTCAAATTAACAATGGAACTCCACGGCTTTACTGCATTTAAGTCATCTGCCATTTTGCCAATTGAGGATCACTTAATATGGTGTCTGATTTGTGCTATTTCGTTATTTGTTTGGTTGTGATTGTTACAAGAAGCAAAACTTGAAGAGAGATAGATTGAGAAACATATAAAACCAATCTATTTTTGTCACAAACATTTTCAGTATTTTGTTGAATACATTAGGCCCTTCAACCGCAACAACACAAAAAAAGATAAAATGATGAGAGGGGACACATTTTTTCCATGTGTCAATAGGGTGAGAGAAATGTGCAGTCTGACTGGAACTCGAACCAGGACCCTAAATAGTGAACACTTCTGAAACTGTGAATACTCCCCTGCTACATTGAAATTCTTCCTCGAGTTTCACAGAGTTACAGAGAAATGTAAATTAAATTCTGAGCTAATTATTATTCAGTCACTGTCCCCCATTGGCGCAAAGTGTAAATGGGTAGAGAAAAATGTGCAGCCCGAGCAGAAATCGAACATGGGACCCTCAGAATACCATATCGCTGCCCTACCGACTTTCGCTGCCCTACCGACTTAGCTATCTGGCCGCTTACACATCATCTCCCCAAAATAGTGAATAATTCTGACCCCTGATATATTTAAATTCATCCTTGAATTTCACAGAGTTACAGAAAAATAAATAATAAACTCTGAGCTATATTCAGTCACGGTCCCCCGTTTGGTGCAAGTGTCACAGGTCACTGAGAAAAAACTGCAGCCTGAATGGAACTCAAACCGGGACCCTCAGAATACGGTACCATGGCTCTATCGACTTAGCTATCCGGCCGCTTACACATCATCTCTGTTAAATAGTGAACAGTTCTGAACCATGACATACTCCCCTCCCTTAGGAAAAGGAAAGGCATTTAACTTGTAGTTATATTGCAGTTATTTAGCAGTTTTTTCAAATAAATGCCTTTTTTACAATTTTTTGCCCTTCATCTTAATTTGTAGGATTCCATTTAAACAGCAGTTCTTAAAAAACTGGTAAAAACTTGTTGTTAAAAAACTTGTGTCCAGCATTTTTTACCAGTTTTTCAACATTTAAAAATAAATGGTGATGTTAAACAATACTTACATTACCATTTTTTACAAGTTATTTTCTTGAACCATTTTTTTAAGCTAAAAGATTGTGACAGAAGCTGCAGTTTTTACAAGTTTTATTTAAGAATTCTGTATCGAAAGGGTTTTACCTCTTGACACCAAATGTCAAAATATTTAGCCTTTGTATATTGTTTTTTACTAATAAACCCCAGTCGTTTCTGTATCGTTAGTACCTTCAGTACTTTGATTATGGAAATTTGATAGTCTGCAATATAACGTAAATGATGTACACTAGACAGCTAGGCCTTTAGAATATAAAAGATATCACCATCAAAGAAGAAATAAAATAACTTTTTTAAAATGTTATCCAATCTTTTAATGCTTTTAAAATGTAAGCACTATTTGGTGTAACGTCTTGTAGGCGTTACAAGAATTATGTGGTGTTTTTCAACATTTTGACCATTTTAGAAGAGAAATACTTAACCCCTGTGAAATAGTGTTCTTGAAATCATGAACTTTTCAATACATTTAAGAACATGCAGTTCACGAACTGGTCCTAAACAGTTCATAATGATTGTTCAAGAACTTATGTTCATGAACAGTTCTTCAAGCTTGTTCATGAACTGTTCATTGGCATAAAAAGAACAAAACCGAATTCTTTAAAGGTTCATGAACTTAGGATCATGAATTATTGAAGAACTTTTGATGAAAACCATGGGTTCACGATTTGTCCTTTAATAATGTCACAAATATTGAAGAACTTTTGATGAAAACCATGAGTTCATGATTTGTCCTTTAATAATTGCTGAAATAGAAATGATTACTGCTCAAGAACACTTGATGACATAAATACATTGGTTAATGAATTTCTGAAGAACTTTTGATGAAGACCATGTGTTCATGATTTGTTATTAAATAACTACAGAAATAGAATGATAACTGGTCAAGAATAGATAAAGACCTAGGCAGATTAATTAGCACAGGCCCAAAACATTTTTTTGCATAAAATAAAGACATCAGTATTTTTTTATTGCTTGACCATGGAAATTCAATCAGTCACTTCTTTAATCAAATTCCCCATTTTTTACTCAACCAACTCATCTATCTATATACTGCAGTAGTGCTTTCTTCTTTATTTGTTTTAAATATGAAAGTATATGTGGCAGGTCATATTTACATGTACTTCAGATGCTGACGAAAATTAACGATGATAACTTACTCTTTACTTAACCAGCGAACATTAACGATTATACTCGAGCAATATCCGTATATCTACGCTAACCAAGACGATAATAACATCCATAACCGTGACCCTTCCAACAAACAATTATCGGAAATAATTTTGATCAATTAAAAGATTAATTACTTCCTGAGTAAGGCCAACTGGCCAGTATAAATGGAGGCATTTATTAGTGGTCAAACACCGTGAAAATTACCGCGAAATACGAGGTGATAAAATTTACAAGATTCAACGAATGTTTCAGGTAAACGACATGGCTAATTGTCATAACTTAACATAACTTTATTCTATTCTGTGGCTGATTGATAACCGATGGCCTAAAGTACTTAAAAAGAATAGAAAAACTGGTTAAAAAATTATTGACATCTGACTTGTTTAATGGTGTCATTAAATTGCAAGTTGGTAATTACCGTAATAGGTTGTATGCCACTATGTAATTTTTAAAAAAAAATACGTTTGATGATCAATGCCCCACCTTCAAATGAAAAGTGTCCCGGAAATGAGTCTAAAAATTATGGCATGTAGGGTCATTGTATTGACGGCAAAAACAACGGAATTACACGAAATTATGAGAATCGAGCACATGTTACTGACGTAGTACACATGTCACTGACGTAGTACACAGGTTTATTGCGTAGTACACAGGTCTATTGAGCGCGCAATATTCAATATTCAAAGACGGCAAAAACTTCGTCTCATATCAACAGTGAACTGATGATATCATCTCTACAACGAGGAAGGTGAAATTGCTAAAGCAAATTATCAGAAGAAGACCTTCAAAGCTGCAATCGGTGAAATTCACTGTGAGTATTATCATAAATGCACCAGTTGTCTTGATTTTTTTTTCCAAACAGAGCCGGCGTGTTTATGACTCCTCAAAGAAAAAAATGAAGAGTCTATAATTATTTTAATGACCTTTCTTCACTTCTAAAAGCATTATTTTGTAACAATTTGTCGACGGTAACAATAGAAATAATAATTGTATTTCCAGCTCATTCCTAGTTATATTTTAGATACTGGAAATATTGCGTAAACGGACATTTGTCACATATTTTCGCGACCTGTTTTTATTTATTTATTTCTTTGTTGTTGAACAGGATCGATATAAAATGAATCAAAAACAAAGCATTGTTGAAGATTGAAGATGGTTCTGCTTCCCTGCAGGAAATTATTTGCTAATGCCTTCTGGTTTAAAATAGTTTTTTTAAAAATGCATGGTAGCAAGTTTTTTTTTTTATCCCCACCCTAGCGGCTAGTGTGCAGACAGTTCACAATACAATTGAATACTCAGGCATTGAATTTAAGATTTTTGAATTTACTGGCCCGCATTCCAGTTTTGAATTTATTCTACTATATATTTAACTAAATTCTCTAAAATTTACACTGGTCATGATGGGCCACCGGGCCAGTGCTTAATTCAATGACTGTTAAATCTGTTACTAAATTTGTAAGGGGCAGGACGTGAAGTGGTTGAACATGCTTGACAAGATATTTTTGAGTATTTAAACATTACTTGGAACATGCAAATTGAAAAAATTATAATGATACAGTTCAGAATATTTTAAAGATATTGGTCAATTGTTTATGATGTTAGAAGTTTTCTTGATTGTGATTAATATTATAGGTCCTGCTGACTGTGTCCAATGTGAAAGTGCATCGAAAAGGCAGGAACTGCTGGGGGTTGTGTGGTTGAGGCTAGATCTGACAGGTAAGCAATATAGTGGAGGTTACAAGGACCCAATTTTACAATTGTCTACAGTAGAACCAGATAGTTTTGCATGGCAAAAATTCCCGAAATTTTAATTCAGTCTAATTTTACGAGGATTAAAATTCGCATAATTAGCATTTTCTTCTTAAATATTAATGAAAAACTGACATACCCTGATATTGGGTATAGAAATAGGTTTGAAGGGTACTATGGAAACGCATTTTTTCGTAACATTTGTGTAATGTTTAAAACTGTCATTTCAAACACAAGACGTTATATTGTTGTTTTTTTGTATTTCCAAACTAGATGGGAGGATGAGTGCAGAAGCCTGCGTAGAAAGATTTGACGCATGGAGGAGAGAATTACTGCTTTAGGGAGTCAGAATACAAAAGTGGAGGACCCCGAATTATAAGCTGTGGAACATCAAAGTGATACTCAAGAAGTCTTGGTTACATAATAATTAGCAAAGACTATCTTCACTGTGGAGGAACTTAGAACCCACTCTAGGACTGGAAAGATGACCAATAAGTGCAAGGATTCCCCGAGACCACCACTTGAACCCTCGAAACTCGGCAATCTTGAAAGACTAGTGAGGAAAAATACCGGTGTATCAAAAGAAGTATTTAATAAAAAACTAGAGAACTAACAAAAAGTCATCAGAAGGAAATAAATCACAAAATAAGTGAAACATTGGAAACTGTTCTAATTTCAAGTTCTTGGTTTTTGAAAATCAGCAAGCTGTATTGAATAAACTATTTCTTAGTTCTTGTTAAACAAAGATGTGTAGTTTTTAAATTTTATATGCAGTTTTACATGTTTGTGGTTTACTTTTGAACAATATAACTTAGAGCTTATGTTGTGTACATATTGTTTAGACTTGTCAGTCCGCAAATTGATTGGTATCAATTCTGTCTGCTCTGTTCTTGCATTTTTCATAAATGTGAAATAATGTAAATGTAGTTTAGGAACTGTTCATGAACTGTAGTCCTTGAACTGTTCTTGCACTTTTCGTGAAGATAAAATGGCACAATGAATTTGCGCTGGAAAAAGTGCTAGAAAAGTTCATGTAGAGGAAAAAATTCATGAACAGTTCATAATTTACTGTAAGTGAACAGTTCATGAGCATTTCATTGCATTTTGTATAAGAACAGTTCATGAAATGTTCATGTTTTATTGAGTCATGAACTGATCAAGAGCATGGGACAGTTCAAGAACTAAGTGTCCTCTGAACTTTTCAAGAATTTGTGCCATTTTGTCTTCATGTACATCCCATGAACTATTCATGAATCTAGGTCATGAACTAGAATGAATACTTCATGAATTATACATGAACTGTAAGCATTCATTTCACAGGGGAATGATTTCTTTTTCGTTTTTGTTCATAACAATGTCATTGGATAAGATTTTTGTACTTAACATTTTTGCTCATTACAAACGCATATATGGCCTTTAATCTCAAAGTTCAAAAGATCCAGAGGCTTATTGTGAGATTTTTGACAGTTCAATATGTCTGTTGTTCGTCTTAACAATTTCTAATGTTAAATACATTAAAAAGTGTCCAAAACTTTAAGTCCACACAGTAATCAAACTGGTTGCCTAATGAAACTAAAAGGGCAATGCTTTTGAGTTCATGAAAAGTTAGGGGATTTGGTGATTTGTAAGAAATCTATGTACATACATATGTGTCAATGTAATAGAAATTCCATGTACATGTACATTTATTTTCAGATGTGAACAGTTGTTAACAGTATTATATTAGCTCAAATAAATGCAACAGTTTTTTGAAAGTTTTTTTTGCAGTTATTTATGAGGTCATATAAAGGCTTCAGTAGTTTTTTGAAAGTTTTTTAATGATGTCATATAAATGGTTGAAAATGCAAACACAATTTTTTGGCAGTTATTTATGAGGTCATATAAATGGTTGGAAATGCTATCTCCATATTTGGAGGAGGCAGTTTTATGATGTCATCTCATTTACATATTTCGGCTGATTTCAATGCTTTTTCAATGCTAAATAACTGCATTTTAAATGCATTTTAACTGCATTTTAAATGCTTTCTACATAATCACATTTGTCAAGGAAAACTGCTTAATAAATGGTTAAAACTGGTCAGAAAAACAATGCTAAATAACTGCAAGTTAAATGCCTTTCCTTTTCCTAAGGGAGCTGCTATATTGAAATTCATCCTCTAATCTCACAGTACAGAAACTGACAGCGAACAGCATGGATCCTGACCAGACTGCACGGATGCGCAGGCTGGTCTGGATTCATGCTAGTCGCAAACCCATTATGTTGGTTTTGTCGTGACGTGGCTCAAGTGTAAATTAAACTCTGAGCAATATTCAGTCATGGTTCCCTGTTTGGTGCAAAGTGTCACAGGGTGAGAAAAATGTGCAGTCTGACCGGAACTTGAACCGGGGACCCTCGGAATACTGTACTGCGGCTCTTAGTCATATTAGCTATCCGGCTGCTTTCAAATCATCTCTCCTAAATAGTGAACAGTTCTGAACCGTGACATACTCCCCTGCTAAATTAAGTTCCTCCTCAAATTTACTGAGTTACAGAGAAATGTTAATTAAACTCTGAGCTATATTCAGTCACGGTCCCCCGTTTGGCGCCAAGTGTCACAGGGTGAGAAAAAATGTGCAGCCTGACCGGAACTCAAACCTAGGGCCCACGGAATAGTGTACAGCATCTCTACCACCTGAGTTATCAAGCCACTTACACATCATCTCCCCTAAATAGTGACAGTTCTGAACCGTGACTATAAAAAATCATTTTGTTGCCCCATATTTTAGCGTAGAATCGCTTTAAATCTAGCATTTAATCATACTGTCACCTGTGCGTGGCCAATCGATGACTCTCTATCTTTTTCATTATTTTGTTCTGTTGCAGTCAAGGGGGGAAGAAAGTGAAGTGAAGAAAGCAACAAAACAAAAAAAATATTGTGCAGCCTGATCGGACTCGAAAACCTAAAACCCTGGAACATATACCACGGCTCTTACCGAATGAAGCTTTTCCGGCCTCATAAAACATTTTCTCCCCTAAAAGCTATTGACATACTTTTCCTGCTATATTTAAATTCCCCCTCAAATTTCTCAGGTTATAAAGCAATGTGAATTTAACTCTGGCTATATTCAGTCACAGCTTCAAATTGGGTACCAATATGTCACAGGGTAAGAAGAATGTGCAGCCTGACCTGGCTCGTACCTAGGACCCTTGGAATACCATACCACAGCTCTTACCAACTGAGCTATCCAGGGGCTTACACATTTTTTCTTCTCTGAACCGTGACACAATAAATATAGTATTTCATCAAGGAACTTGCCTTTTTTTTGTAAACAAGTTAAATACCAAATAAAAGGTATTGAGGAAAGGTCTTTGTTTATTATAGTGTCCACCATTACTGTAAGGGCCTGCCATTTCTGACTTATGAGACACCTATAAATTGCTTGCATACCAATTGTACCTCCCAACTCCTACCACTTATTTTAAGTATGCCAGGCGCAAGGCGGATAGAAATTTGGTAACCATTTCATTTTAACTACCTAGCAGCTCAAGAAGCGGCTTTTTAGGAACGAGTCCCGAGATAAACATTCATACTTCATTTACCTTCCCTGTGGGGGCTTGAACTTCAACCTCACAAATTGAAGGCAGACACCTTAACCACTAGGCCCAATGATACCGAATACATGTACACACTGAAATATGTTTGCTTGTTTGTTTTGGGTTTTATGTCACATTGACACAGTATAGGTCATATCGCGACATTCCAGCTTTACTGGTGACGAAAACCTCAGGTGCTCTTCCATGCATAATTCAAGCACGAATGGGCACCAGAGTAGAACCACCGACATTCCGTAAGCTAGCTGGATAGCTTCCTCACATGAAAAAGTCCAAAGTCCCTGTCGGGATTCGAACCCACAGCGGTGAGGGGCAAGTGATTTGAAGTCAACAACCTTAACCACTCGGCCAGGGACGCCCCCTGAAATATGTATTTTACCCTTTGTTGAAATTTTACAAACCAGACATCTGGTGAAAATCCTGCAGGAACCACATCATTCTGTAAATAACTTTACCTTTTAATTTCTATAATTCAACAGTTGTTTTCTATATATACATGAACATATGAGCCGTGTCACGACAAAACCAACATAATGGGTTTGCGACCAGCATGGATCCAGACCAGCCTGCGCATCTGCGCAGTCTGATCAGGATCCATGCTGTTCGCTATCAGTTTCTTTACTTGACAGGGTTTGTAAGCGAACAGCATGGATCCTGATCAGACTGCGCGGATGCGCAGGCTGGTCTTGATCCATGCTGGTCGCAAACCCATTATGTTGGTTTTGTCGTGACACGGCTCATATGTCTTTTTCATTGTCACTTCACCAATATCACTCATACAAGTTAATCAATTTGTAGAATTACATGCAACAAAATTAAAAATGTTTAATGCATGCTTAAATAATAAAAACTTAATAATTTTAGTCCAGTTTGATTATATATATTATTATAATTTAGGATTATCAAAAGATTCTTAATTAAAGTCCTACCAATTGGTAATTTTGTAACACGGTGAGAAAATGTGCAGCCTGAACAGGACTCAAACCCGGGACACTCAGAATACCTTACTACAGCTCTACTGTCTGAGCTATTAAGCTGCTTACACATCACTCCTCTAAATAGTATTAGAAAGCCAAGAAATTGTCCATACTTTTATATGACGTAATAATTTCATATCATGAATCATATGAAATTATTATAGGAATTGTTTTATAAATAATCTTTTTTTATATATATACATGTATATATTATGAATTGCTTTAAATCTGTTTTTCAATATATTGTAATAATATATGATAATTCAGAATATTTCTTGTATGTATGATTATGTTTAATTTGTCATTTTATAAAATATTTTATTATAGTTTTGAAGAATTACTTGACTGTACATTTCAAACTTTGATAATTTGTAATTGTTCTTTATTCCTATTTCTTAAGATCTTGTAAATTTTTTACATAACTCTTTTTGACACTAAAGTAGAGACCAGCTGTTAGGCTTTTAGCAAGTTTTTTTTGAAACCATAAAACATCTTGATTAACACAATTAAAATGTAAATACTTTAGTTTGTAATTAAATCTTTGTCCAAATGCCTGTGAGATTGAGCAACAGGAACAAGGGTGCTAAAGTGACAGACTAAGTAAATTACCTTCTGGACAAAGTGATAACCTATCATGTAAGAATTTCCTTTTTCTTTGTTTGACTGATTAAGCCATATTGTTTGCAAATGTAAAAACATATGGTGCTAAAAGCATTGTAGGGCTCAATGTCATAATCTACCTGTATAAAAGTCAAGACGAAAGTTAGCAAGTCACATAACGAAATTGTGACTGCTAAATAAAGTTGGAATTATTTCTTAAACTATCGTCTTACTTTTATATAGGTAAGTTCTCTTTTATTATTCTTTTCTTGTTTAAAGTAAATTTTTCATTTTACAATAAACTCTTGTTTCAAATAATTTTCATGTAGCAATATTGAATAGTAAATGTTTTTTTTGTACATAGATATAATGAACATGAATTTTATGCATTCTATTATTTCCTTTAAGAGGAATTTTCAATTTATTTTGATATCATACATGAAGATAGATTTGTTTCAAGTAATGCAATTTACTGACTCTTTTGGATATACTTGACATAAGGTTTTAAAAGAAATGTTTATACTTAATCTTAAGACTTTAATTTTTGTTTTCATGCTTGTAAGTCAATCATTATAATCTTATCTTCATGGATGCTTTCCCTTGGTACTTCTTACTTGTTAAGCGAGTGTTTAAATAAAACAGCTTTTCCCCAAAATTAGTTGTTTTTGAAAAGTATAAAATTGTTCTATTAATATAGACTAATTTCCCAATAAAATAGTTTGTTAATTTGTTTTAAAGCTTAAATATTTGAAAATGAAATATGTTCATTTAGAATGTACAATATTAGTTAATTAGTCAATTGTTTATTTTGTTTTAACTTTATGTTATTTCAATCTTCTCTGTTTAATATACATAATTACATATGCATTAAAATTGTATTATTTTAATATTGATACACATTATGCGTAATACTGTATATACACATAACGAAATTGTGACTGCTAAATAAAGTTGGAATTATTTCTTAAACTATCGTCTTACTTTTATATAGAGATACGGGTTAAAGAGTAACGCCCCAACGACTACGGCGTCACAATAGTATACAGTTCTGAACCATTATAATTACTTCTCCGCTATATTGAAGTTTGTCGGTAATACAGAGCTATGTGAATTAACTCTTAGCTATATGCAGTCAAGGCCACAAGTTGGGCGCCAATTGTAACCGGTTGAGAAAAAATTTGCAGCCTGACCGGGATTTGAACCCGGGACCCTCAAAGTACCAAACCATAACTTGACTGACTGAGCTATATGGCCACTTACACATTTTCTTCCCTTAACAGTAAACTGTTATGAACCATGACATAATCCTACCAATTAAATACAAATACTATGTATTTAAAACCTTCAAGAAAAGTTTTGTTATCATTATGAATAAATGCAAATTAAGTAAATGGAAATCTTATCAAATAGGGAGGTGATCTGTTGTTGAGTTGTAACATCTTGATAATTGTGATCCAAGGATCATGAGATAGCATCTCCACCTTGATAAAATTTGTCAACAAACTTACAGATGGGACCAACTTGCTAGGACCAGGGTTGCATCTGAAACTGAGGCAAACTATAGGCAACTACTGTATATCAAAAA